GGGTTGAGGTGAAAAATTTAAAAGAAAATCAGTTGATGAGGGTATTTACGCGTAATTTTGAAGCACAGCGTTACAGAAATCCCAGCAAAACCAGTTCATGAAAGATGGGCAGAGGCTTTGTCAGAATACTCTGAATGAAATTTTCTCCGGATACTTTTTGACAAAAATGCATAGTATTGGTCAGCAGCCACTATTTCAAAGGAAGAGGGAGAGAATACACGAAAAAAGGTTGCTTTTGCAGAATAAAATTAATGCAGAAAAGTAGTAAAACTATAAATTTTAAACAGCACGGAAACTTAGGCCATTGATTTATATGATATACTTGCATAATGGGAAATTTTTTCGAGTATCTAGTAGTGAAGATATGAATATTTCGGGACCCTACTATTCATAAAAATATCAGAACCGCTGAGACAAACGTTGTCGAAATTCGGTGCAAGGGTACATTCATCAGGAATGTTCATAGGAATGTTTATGAGAACGGGGCAAACTTCTACCGTGTCTTCGTCGATTCATGTTGTTTCGTAAGAATCGTAAGATCGGGTAGATTTGTTTGTGTTGTCTTGGTCGTTACGTCTTTTTGTTGCTGTTGTTGTTATTTGTTGTTCCATTGGTGTTGCTGGTCCCGTTTTGTCTTATTGTAGTTCTACTAATTGTTGTGTATTTCATGTTTGTAATGTTTAAATATCGGTGAGTCGTTGGCACTTTGTTTTTGTTAATACATGTTAAACACATTACTTTTGGCGGTTTGATTACATCCTTGTAGGGTAGGGCAACCGATAGTCTTGTTAGCTGATGGTTTCCCTTGGCATGTGTTATGGGTGCTCTTGCTATGCTTTCTTCAGCTAAAAAAGATGTATTCTGCTTTGAGAGGCAGATACATATTAGATGTGGTGCCCGGTTGGCCTCGGAGTAAAAGAACCGGTAGTGTAGTGGGTAGCACGTCGCGTCCACGTGTGGAGATGAGTGGTTCGATTTCGTTTCCTTCCCGAGCCATAACCATTGTGGAAAAGGGTTCCCTTCACAACAGAGGCTTTTAACATTTGACCCAAGCTTCTCACCTATAACTAGGAATACTGAGGTTTTTTTTTTTGTTGGATTACTCCTAACTGGGAATACTGAGGTTTTTTTGAGTGGATATTGAGGTTTTTTTGAGTTGGATTACTCCTACTTGGTTAGATTTCTTGGAAGCATAAGGACTAGCTCTGGTAGGATATGGATTGGGCAAATTTTTGATTACTTTACTTTTTTTCTGAAATTTGCAGCAGGTGAGTGCCCTCCTCCCCTCCCTCTACAGTTAATTCGTATATTCTTCCATCATTTAGCGCCTCTTATTTAAGGAATAACCTGCATATGATATGATTGCCGTCAGTGCAGCGTTCTGTTGTTCGGTTTTAAGGTCGTAAATCCCGTAGAAGCATTTAATGAACACTGGGTATTAAGTGATATCACTTGTGTTGAAAGGACTTAGAACAGCTGCTGATTCATAGCTTTGTTCTCTAGAAACAAAGCCAGTAAAGCTTCCAGTTGCTTTGACCAATGCTGCATTGCTTGCTGGTCAGCCTGTTGGCGGTCCTGTTGTGCGTTTGGTGTCTCCTAAAGCGATCACCAACACAATGTTTTCCCCAACAGAAAAAAATCACTTGGGAAGGTCAAATCGTTCTCAGGCGTCTTATGGAGTATGCTAGGACACATTTATCTTTGTTCGTTTTCATTTACTGTTGTATTATAGCGATCGTTCGAATTTGGAAGATGAACTTGGCCGAATTTCTGGCACTGCAGTGGATTTGGAAAAGAAGATTTCGGAACTGGAAAAAATTATTGACAGCCACACAGCCCGGGTCAGTTGCATTTCTTAGTAGACTTTGACAGACCAGAATATTCCCAGAAAATGCTAGGTTTTTGAAATTTTTTCTTCGACAGCTACGGTACCCCTTCGTTGTATAGTATCTCGCCCTCTTTATATGTGTGTGAGCGTGTATGTGTGCGTTATTTATAAGTATGTGTATGTATGAGTGTATGCATATGTGCGTGTGTAAGAATGTTTATGTATGTGTGTATATGTGCGTGTACGCACATATGCGCGTGTGTGTACGTGTGAGTTTGTAGCATGTATGTATATGTATGTATGTGTGGTACAGTATGTATATGCGCGCGAGTTTTTATATATGTGCATGTGCTTGCACATGTTTGTCTGTGTGTATGTGGATGTGTGTCTATGCGTATATTTGTGTGTGCTTGCTTGTATACGTGTGTGTACGTATGCGTGTGTGTGTATTTGTGGGCGTGGGTGCATATGTGTGTGTATTGGTGTGTATGCGTGTGCGAACTTTTAAAATCGAAATTTATTGTTACTGCGCTGGAAAATTCGGATTCAGAGCATTTTATCGTTTTAGCCTCCTCAATTTTGAGCTAATTTTCGGTTGTAAAAAGTTTTGAGATTGCGCTGTAGATATAAATTTAGTGCTTTTTTGTATCCGTGTATAGTCTGAAACCCGAGTACCATGAAACGAACTGCTGGTAAGAAAACTGCGTGCTCTAGCACCCTTTGCCTATCACGATGAATGAAATACGAAAGAGATTTTGATTTTTTACTTTTTCTTTATAACCGTTAGGGAATTACGTTACGCAAAAAAGCATTTAATGCAACTTATGTTCAGGAAGCTGCAATGCATGATTCACTGGAGCAGTATAAGTTCAAAGAACGTGAGGCATCGAGAAGTTTGATTGAAGCACAGTTTGAAATCACGCGACTGAAAGGCAAAATTTTTTTTGTTCTAAAAATTATTATGCCGGTCATCGACGACTTGTAAGGAACCCTTGAAAATGGTGTTCGTCGTCAGCTTTGTTACAAAAACTAATTCCATGTACTTCAGTCTCTCAGAGGGAGTGAATGCGAAGGAGCCGAATGGGTTGAGAGGAGAGGGTGGTTTAGTTGTGCGGTGTAATATATTACTGAATAAATTAGCTTTGTTCCAGCCATGTATAGATTATCAGTCTTCATAAATCGTTCACTGCAGATTCGGCTGATCAAATCAGGTCAAATAGCGGAGCAGAGTTAGATCGTGTACGTGAAGAATTCCGAGAAATGGAAAAGAAAATTTTAGCGGAGAAAAATGCTGAAATTAAAAATTATGATGAAACGTTTAACTTATTACGCAGCGAAAAGGTAAAATTATTAATTTTTGCTTTATATTACTTTTTATAAGTTCTTTTTTCATCATAATTCCTTTCCGCAGTTGCTGTAATTGAAGTTGCTTCACCTGGTATTCAGCTTGCTAATAATTTTAACTTTCGTTTTCTTCACTTCCTTCTGAAAAGGGGTTTTGCGTGTATCAGATTCCATATGCTTAGTTTGACAACGACGTTCTCGTATTAAGGATTTCCACACATGATTCTTATACTTGAGTCAGCTGCAGTTCATAGATTGATTCGTCATCTATGCAGCTCGCAGCTTCTCCAGTTGCTTTGGCCAACTCTCCATCTCCTAATGATCATCTTGCTAACGAATCTGGCATTCGTTCCCTCTCTGAAAGAATTATCAGATCCTGGCGAGAAGCTTTGACTGCTTCTATATATCTCTGATATGTGTTGAATGCCATCTCGTCGCCTCGGACATTGCCACTCTTAGACGACGATGAAATGCTTTACGGCTGATATAACTGTCGTACTGAAGAGATCCAGTTGCAGAGCTAAGCTGCGCGTCCGCGACTTAATGAGCCGAAACGTTTTACCTCACAATTTTCTTAGTCTTACAATCTTAAAGCCCTTTTGTCCTTCCTTTCACCCCGTCGATTTTGGCTTTGCTTCAGTGCCCGTACATAAGTTGTTGCATCATGACTCCCTCCTAGGTAAATCGTGCATTGGCACGAAATCGGTCTATATAAGGCCGTTGTAGCTGTATTGTAGGTAGTGTTTATCCGAAGAAGTAGTGTTAATCCCGTCGAGAATTGTCGACCGACCAGTGTGATCCGTGAAGTGCACCGACCAGGACGACTTACGAAGAACGAGGACCCTGCTCCTACCCCCAGTAATTGCCGAGGAGTCGACGACCCGTCTTGACGGGCCGCAGTACCCGGCCAGTCGACTGAAACGCCCGGGCCAGGAAGCCCAATAAAGTAATTAAAGAAATTGTGTGGTAGAACTGTGAATAATTGAACAGTTTGATAAATATCTGTTGAACGGGCTTATATTTCAGTTATTTTTACGCAATATAATCAATACTGCAGGAGGATTTGGAGCACTCATTGGCAGCGATCAAAAAAGAACTAAAAGAAGTTTCGTTACGTTGCGAAAAAATAACCATGGAAAAAGAAGGCCTAAGTAAGCAGCTTAATGAGGAAAAAGAACGGGCTGCGAGAGAGATTGCTTCATTACGAGAGCATCTCGATGCAGTGGAAGATAGATGCCTTGCTGAAGCTAATGAATGGGAAAAGCATCGAACTGAGGTCGGATAATTCATGCTATTCTTGGTGCTAAAAAATTTTTTCCGTCTTTCATTTGCCATGAGAAACGGGAACATTCAAGTGCGGCGTAAATAATGTAACTACCGGCTAACAGAACTGTTAATGGTAAGGGGCGTAAATGGCTGTTCCAATCGTATTGTGGTCAAAAAAA